AATGTGGCAAAAGTTTTCATTATACTAGTACAAATAGTGGAAGCATTTTTTGGTAACATTCTGGTAGTTATACCAAAATATATTATAGTTTCACATTACATTTAATATGTATACCAGAAATCTATTACAAAATGATTCATACATACAAGCATATGTATACATCCTATTAAAGCATTATTGATCATATACATATTTCTTTTGGTATGTAAAGTAAATGGATATGTAGATTATTTTTGAAAGCATTTAAACTTAATATAAAAGAATCACCATTGCTTAAGCATTCTCTAGTAAAAACTATATTATTATGTAAAAAAAATATATCATAGACTAAGTTATAAATTATTCAAATCTAATCTTAAGATTGATATTGATAAGAATAATTTTTTCAATTGTAAAAAATTTCAATTGTAAAAATCATTCATTCTTTTCTTTTATTCTAAATGCAACAATTTTCTAATCCTTTCTATAGAAATATTAATAATAAAGCAATTATGCTTCTTTATGAATAGCAACATTCATAAAATATATTAATTTTCTATTCTAAGTCATATTATTAAAAAAAAAAGTAAAACAACAAAAAGACATTAGAAATATTTTGCATTCATCACAATTAAAGTGTGTAGTTGTGCCATTTGTTGTTTGCAATACTTTATCCATTTGCATGTACTAATTAGTGGTCCCTACTTTCCCCTCCCCTGCATTGCAGGAACTAGTAGCTATACAACAATACCGAGGAGGTCTATTCAGCCAGGGGCTAGTTCGTCAGTTACCCACATAGCATAGCCTGCCATAGGCCATATTTTTGATAACATACTGAACTGATGTTTAAATAACATAAACTATAGTGATGTTTGTCATTTTGAATAATTATATTTTATACACAAATTACCAAATAGATATATTTATTTTAACTTTTACAACATATAAAACTTTTTCTGTAATATTAAATTTTAATAATTATAAAACATAAACATAACTTACATGTTGGCTTTGCTGCTATTTTGAATTCTTATTATTTGTAAAATTTTAACTCAAACATATTTATTTTCATAAACATATACAAATTAGTTTTGTACACAATTTACCTACAAAATGAATATTTATTATAAAGTATATGATAATGAGAATTTCATTTACAATTGAAACTTTATATTATTCTTCATATATAATTTTTTACTTTTAATTGTATAAAAACTCAGTTCAGTTATACATATGGAAATATTGGCCCCACAAGTATTTTGGCTGGTATGAGTTATGGGGGTAGCATTAGACTGCTTTCAAATGCATATACGATGCTAGACCTTGGTGGGATAGCACAACCGTAGAGGTTCCTTGTGTAGCGGCGACCCACCCTATGTTTTTCAGTACAATCAACAAGGAGGATTTCAAGGGTCACAGCCTTCTCAGAATCAACAAAGTAATTACAAACAAGGAGGTGCACAAATCTCTCCAGCATTTAAACCACAACAACAACAACAATTGCCAATGCAACAAGCAGCATCAAGAAATCTGCCACAAGGGAAACCTCAACAACCACAGCAACAGCAATCACAACAAATTAAACAATCACAACAACCTATTGCAAGTTCTCCTCAAAATCAGCCACAATCTCAATCACAATCCCAGCCTCAGTCTCAACCTCAACCTATACCACAGTCTCTATCACAACTTCAGCTTCAATCTCAATCCCAAACACAGTCTTTATCTCAACTTCAGGCTCAATCTCAACCTCAGCGATTGAAGCCAATTTTAAAACAGCCTTCTCATACTCAACAACAAAGTGGAACAACAGTGCAAAATAATCCTGTTTCATCTACTCAACCATCAGTTCCTACTCCAACACCTCCTGTATCAAGTAATTCTAATCCTACACCACCAATAACTAATAATACATCTGAAGTAAAAAATGAAACTCAAGTGCCTGAAAATGCAGATGTTGAAATGCAAGAACAACATCCAAGATGGAGGCGTAAGGCTCCTGGGTGTAAGTATTGAAAGTTAATAATTAATAACATCAGCTTTAATTTTATGTTTTTCTAAATCATTTAAAAAAGTTTTTTAAAGGAGATACATTTTTTAATATATGTAAATTTATACTGCATAAATTACTTAAAATTTCAAAGAAACAGTTACAGAATGGAAAAGATGATCCATATTTATCTCAGTTATTAAAAATATCAAATTTATTTGACATTATATAATTATATAGTATTAATTACTTTTTAATGTTAAATGACTATTGGCAAAATGATGATAATTCACTGCGCAAATTTGAAGATTAGAATAATTGTCATGTGCTTCAGTAATTTACTGTTGAGCTGTGACATGTTAATAACCATTGTGAATACTAATGTACTGATATTAATATAGAACAAAATTAACGAATTGTTCTATTGTTTAATAAATTAAATCAAATTTATATCTTTAGTTAGGGTAAATAAAAGACTGAAACGACTTCGCTTGAATCAACGTTTAAGGAAAACATTGCAACCAAAGAATGCAATTATGGTACTAAATGAAATGAAAGCAGGAGTGCAATTCACATTTCCTGAAACTCAAGGACCCATGCCAAACTTCTTTTAAAATGAAAATAAAATGAAAACAGCTTGATGGTAAAACTTATGTTGGACAAGGATTATCTAAGCCACTTGCCCGTCAAAATGCTGCTGAAAATGCACTGAAGGCTTTATTACTTGAAAAAATGACAGCAGCAACTATGAAAGCACGCATTGATGCTGAATCAGATGGACAAGCAAATCAATCTACAGAGCCATCTAATATACCAAAAGATGATAATAGTGAAGAAGGTGGAACACCAATGGATACTAGTATTGATGAAAGTGATGAAATTCCATGGAGTTCTTTAGCTAGCTTTGCATTATATAAACTTTTCCTTGAATGGCACAATCAAGGAACATCAGTTCCAGTTCCAAGACCAGGATTACCATCACCTGTGAAAGGTGCTAAAAGAGAGATTACTCATGTCCAAAAAACTCCAGTTCAAAAAGAACTTCCACCCAATGCAACAAACATACATCCTGTAATGTTATTAAATCAAATGAGACCAGGTTTAACATATGTAGAACTTAACCGTGTCGGTAATCCACCTAACACAATGTTCACTCTTGCTGTTGATATTGATGGCATTGAGTACACAGGAATAGGTAATGTAACATACAGTTTGTTACTTAGATTGATTTATATTCTAGTTTAAAATTTTATATAAATATGCCATACATTAAAAAAAAAGAAACAGTTATATATTTTACATCTCATAGTAAGATATACCTTGATAAAATTTAACTCCAGATGCACATTTTTTCATTCTTTTATGTATGGAATGTATTTTAACTCTTTAATACATATTAGCAATTACATATGCGACGGAAATACTTTGTTTTTAATGCTTAATTTTATTTTCTTCTTACCAAAAATATATGGATATATTACAGCAAAAAACAAGAAAGATGCCAAGAAAATAGCAGCAAAATCTGCACTTATGGCTTTGTATGGTTTGAATTATCCAGAAGAAATTAAACCAGTAGGTCAAGATCAACCAATGGCTTAAAAGTATATATAGACAACATTAACTTTTGTAATATGTAAATTGAATATTATGACATTGTTATTCATTCAATGACCACTTCACATCATATATTATGAGAATTACTGCATATTGCAGAAAACATTCTAAAAATTTGACAACTGCAATAATAATATAAAAACTTTATAACATACGTATTTATAAATATATAGCATTCATTTATACATAATTGTGTATAATATTTAAATGTCTATCATTATATAAGATGTACGAAAATGTTCTTTCTTATGAAAGTTATGTTATAATAGAAATAGGAAACAGTATAGCGAATATTCTTCACCAAAATGATCAATATATTTCTTTTATAAATAAAAATGTATAGTCAATATACTAAATCGGAATGATCAATGTATTTCTTCAATCAATAAAATTGTATAATACATAAGAATTATCAATATATTGCATCAGAATAATTAATATGTTTATCATTGAAATTGTATGTTTTTATACTTGTATTTAATTTGTATTTACAATAAATTAACGCTTTAGTATCGATCATCACGTTTTGAATATACAATTATTTTATTACTATGTTAAAATACTTTAGTATGTAGTATACAATCCCATATTTTATATCCATTCTTTTATCCACTCAAACTGAAATTTTGTAATATATTACAGGAAATTGAAATATACAAATAAATTTTTTGCTCAGCAATAATTACTATATATTAAGATATGTTACTTTTAATTTTTAATTTATTGTACATCAAATTTTTGTGTTCATCCACATTAGTATAAGCATTTGATATGCCATTAGAAATCTAGCTGCAAATACATGGGTGTAAATAGGTTGTTATGACAACAATTTTCCAAACATTCCACTTTGCATTAAGACACTCATGTGAAATGAAAGCATACTTAAACTATGCAACCACTAAAAATTATAGTTGTAGGACCTATTAAGGTAAAGTTTAACGTATTTGTATCTTATATACGAATATAATATTTTTATTGTGTAAAAGTAGATTGTATTCCTTATTTTATATTCTGTATGTGAGAACAGTAATAAAATAGAACATGTAGTTAACATATATATGTATATACATACAAATTGAATTAGTTTCAAGATTTTAATTATTTGAAAAAATATTTAGAGTGGTAAAACAACAATCTCTAACTTTCTTGCGGATGCTACGGAAATACCATACGATTATCATCTAACACAAGGTGTTCGAATATTAGAGTTTGAAGTACAAAATATAAATGTGAATAACAAAAGTATGACGAAAGATATTGAGCTATGGGATTGTAGTGGAGATCATAAGTATACAGGAATATTTTATTCATTAAAAAATAATAAAAATATAGAATATAATATGGAAATATTTTAGATACGAAAGTTGCTGGCCAGCTATAAGAAAAGATATCCATGGTGTTATATTTGTGTATAATGATACATCTAATGAATGTTTAAAAGAGATTCAACAATTATATGATTATTTTATTGAACAAACAAAATTAGGTCCAGAAAAATGTGTAATTCTTTGTTATGACCCAGAGAAAAAAAATCCTGAAATATCAAAGGTTATTTGTAAGTATTAAATGGTATATATACATATAACGTTAACGATTACTGTATCCACAATAATATTTTTATTTATTCTAATCAGCTTCAACATTCATAAAAGTATCCCATGTAAAATGCAATATAGAAAGTGGCGGTAATAAATTGAAAGCTGATTTTTCATCATTCATAAGTACAATACTTAATAAAATGCACAATTACACGAATCCAACAGATAAAAATATTTCAAATGACAACAATATACTATTTTAATAATATGACTTAATGTCATATAGTGTAACACATTCTAAGAATCTTATCTTAAAAATATATTCAGATTAGTGAATATTACCATTTTATTGTAACAGATTAAGCATTTCTTTGTACAATATTTTTATTTTATATATATTTACATTATTTTTATTATATTTCATCATTTTTAT